TTTGGTCAAAAAAATTTGGTCCAAAAAGTTTGGTCAAACAAATTTTGGTCAAAAAAATTTAGGCCCAAAAAAGTTTTGGTCAAAAAAAATTTGGCTCAAAAAATTTTCGGAAAAAAATTTTTGGTCAAAAAAATATTTGGCCAAAAAAAATTTGGCCCAAAAAATTTTTGGTCAAAAAAATTCTTGTCAAAAAAAATTTGGCCCAAAAAATTTTGGTCAAAAAACTTTGGCCCAAAAAAAATTGGTCAAAAAAATATTGGAAAAAAAAAATTTTTGGTCAAAAAAATTTTGGTCAAAAATTTTGGCCAAAAAATTTTCGAAAAAAAATTTTTAGTCAAAAAAATTTTGGTCAAAAAAAATTTGGCCCAAAAAATTATGGTCAAAAAAATTTTGGTCAAAAAAATTTTGGCCCAAAAAATTTTGGCCCAAAAAATTTTGGCCCAAAAAATTTTTGGTAAAAAAAATTTTGGGAAAAAAAATTGGCCCCTCGGAAAAAAATTTTGGTCAAAAAAAATTTGGTCAAAAAAATTTTGGCCCAAAAAATTATGGTCAAAAAATTTTGGCCCAAAAAATTTTGGTCAAAAAAATTTTTGGTCAAAAAAGTTTTGGTCAAAAAAGTTTGGTCAAACAAATTTTGGTCAAAAAAATTTTGGCCCAAAAAAATTTTGGCCCAAAAAAGTTTTGGTCAAAAAAAATTTGGCCCAAGAAATTTTGGTCAAAAAAATTTTGGTCAAAAAAGTTTTGGTCAAAAAAATTTTGGGGAAAAAATTTTTGGTCAAAAAAATTTTGGCCCAAAAAATTTTCGGAAAAAATTTTTGGCCCAAAAAATTTTCGGAAAAAAATTTTTGGCCAAAAAAAATTTGGCCTAAAAAATTTTTGGTCAAAAAAATTCTTGTCAAAAAAAATTTGGCCCAAAAAAATTTGGTCAAAAAAATATTGAAAAAAAAATCGAAAAAAAAATTTTTGGTCAAAAAAATTTTGGTAAAAAAAATTTTGGCCAAAAAATTTTCGAAAAAAAATTTTTAGTCAAAAAAATTTTGGTCAAAAAAATTTGGCCCAAAAAATTTTGGGAAAAAAAATTTTGGTCAAAAAAATTTTGGCCTAAAAAATTTTCGGAAAAAAATTTTTGGTCAAAAAAATTTTGGACAAAAAAAATTTGGTCAAAAAAATCTTGGTCAAAAAAATTTTGGTTCAAAAAATTTTGGTCAAAAAAATTTTGGCCAAAAAAATTTTTGGTCAAAAAAATTTTTGGCCAAAAAAATTTTTGGTCAAAAAAATTCTTGTCAAAAAAAATTTGGCCAAAAAATTGTTGGTCAAAAAAATTTTGGACAAAAAAAATTTGGTCAAAAAAATCTTGGTCAAAAAAAATTTTTTGTCAAAAAAATTTTGGTTCAAAAATTTTTGGTCAAAACAATTTTGGTCAAAACAATTTTGGTCAAAAAAATTTTTGGTCAAAAAAATTCTGGTCAAAAAAATTTGGCCCAAAAAATTTTGGTCAAAAAAATTTTGGTCAAAAAAATTTTGGTCAAAAAAATTTTGGTCAAAAAAATTTTGGTCAAAAAATTTTGGCCCAAAAAATTTTTGGTCAAAAAAATTATGGTCAAAAAAAATTTGGGAAAAAAAATTGGCCCCTCGGAAAAAAATTTTGGTCAAAAAAAATTTGGTCAAAAAAAATTTGGCCCAAAAAATTTTGGTCAAAAAAGCTTTGGTCAAAAAAATTTTGGTCTAAAAAGTTTTGATCAAAAAAAATTTCGAAAAAAAATTTTTAGTCAAAAAAAATTTGGCCCAAAAATATTTTTGGCCAAAAAAAATTTGGTCAAAAAAATTTTGGTCAAAAAAATTTTGGTCTAAAAAATTTTGGTCAAAAAAAGTTCGGACAACAAAATTTTGGTCAAAAAAATTTTGGACAAAAAAATTTGGTCAAAAAAATTTTGGTCAAAAAATTTTGGCCCAAAAAATTTTCGGAAAAAAATTTTTGGTCAAAAAAATCGACGGAATGTCGGAATATCGAAGTGTCGAACTGTCGGATTATCGGAATGTCGGAATATCAAAGTGTCGGAGTATCGGAATGTCGGAATATCGAAGTGTCGGAATGTTGGAGTATCGGAATGTCGAATTATCGGAATGTCGAATTATGGGAATGTCGAATTATCGGAATGTCGGAGTATCGGAATCTCGGAATATCGAAGTGTCGAAATGTCGGATTATCGGAATGTCGGATTATCGGAATGTCGGAGTATCGGAATGTCGGAATATCGAAGTGTCGGAATGTCGGATTATCGGAATGTCGGATTATCGAAATGACGGAATACCGAAGTGTCGAAATGTCGGATTATCGAAATGTGGGATTATCGGAATGTCGGAGTATCGGAATGTCGGAGTATCGGAATGTCGGAGTATCGGAATGTCGGAATATCGAAGTGTCGGAGTATCGGAGTGTCAGAATATCGGAATGTCAAAGTATCGGAATATCGGAGTATTGAAATGTCGGAATATCGAAGTGTCGGAGTATCGGAGTGTCGGAGTGTCGGAGTGTCGGAGTGTCGGAGTATCGAGTGTCGGAGTATTGGAGTGTCGGAGTATCGGAATATGGGAATATCTGAAAAAAAGTTTTTGGTAAAAAAAAATTTGGTCAAAAAAATTTTAGTCAGAAAAATTTTGGTCAAAAAAATTTGGCCCAAAAAAATTTTTGGTCAAAAAAAATTTGGTCAAAAAAATTTTGGTCAAAAAAATTTTAGTCAAAAAAATTCTGGTCAAAAAAATTTGGTCAAAAAAATTTTGGTCAAAAAAATTCTGGTCAAAAAAAATTTGGTCAAAAAAATTTTGATCTGAAAAATTTTGAGAAAAAAATTTTTGATCAAAAAAATTTCTGGTCAAAAAAAATTTGGTCCAAAAAATTTTGGTCAAAAAAATTTTGGCCCAAAAAATTTTAGTCAAACTTTTTTTCTCCAAAATTTTTTTTCGGGTGTAAATAATTTTACTGACATATGTTAGCGATGGTTACCAAACTGCTTGGACAATTAATTATTAAACTCATGGCAACCGTTGACATAGTAAAATTTTCAGTAAAATTATTTAGTGATTTTCGTTGCCATGCAAAGCGTTGCCAGCTCAAAATTTTCAGTTCATCAACAGCACACGACGTGCAGTACAGCTAGGAAAATGTTCGTCAGATCCGTCAGAACAAGGGAAATGATAAATACACTCTGAGATCGACAAAGACTTTGAAATCCGGTTTTCCAAAGTCCGCGATCCCATCATTCACGTTGCGATCGTTTGTTGACTCCAGGCCCGGTCTTCCAAAGTCAACGAACATGATCGCTTCTCACTCGCTCACACATACATACATCAGCAACATGCAACATGCAACACACACAACACAAAACTGACCATTACCTATAAAACTATAAAATGGACTAAAAATTCGGTAAGGCCATGCCGCCAACTTCACCCTCTTGATTAATCGTCACTGCGCTGGCGGCAAATTTGAATTAGAAGAATTGGCTTATTATTTTAAATTAATATACACATCCATACTAATTAAATTACACCATTAATACATATAATATTTTAATGTAATAATAATAAAATAACGTAATAATAATAAACTAAAAGCATTTGTTTACTAAACATATTTTATTAATATCGCAAATTATTGATATAAAATATACTAACTAGTATTTACTATTTACACATCATTTCCCAATGTAATCAATAAATAAAACACAAATTCTATATAACTGCCAACAAAATGTTATAATACAAAACAATTATTTTAAGTATGAAACGATAATAATAAAATGCATCAAAAGCAATTAGAGAATGTAAATCTCCAATTATATTTTTTTATATAAACCTATTAGGAATAATATATGTATAAATGGATATATACAAAATGAACATTTATATATCCCATATTACAGTTATTGTATAATATATAAGTGCAAAATAATGCATAATAAATAGGTTCATAAAGTACCTATAAATTAAGAATTTACTTCATGTATCAAATTGACAATTAAAAATACATACATATTTTATATGCCCGTCAATTTTTATCCTCTAGCATGAAATTAGAATACTTTTACCGTTGTCATCAAAAACAAGTTTACGGCAAAAAATTTGAAAATCAAATTAAAATGAATTCTGCTTTGATTTTTTAGTACTCTTTCCACAATGACAGGTCTACGAAGGGTATGTTTTCATCACATGGAAGAAGAGGGTTCCTAGAAATATCATTCAGAAATAATATAGTAGTAATTCATTGATTATTAAAAAATTAATATAAATCAACTTACAGATTTGATACGCGGTTGAAACCTTTTGGCTGTATGGTTCGCACATTGTCCCCGTTATCACAGAATAATCGAGAAATTGGTGATTTTCGAATTTCATTTAGTTGTCCTATAATGAAATAAAACAAATAGAATGAAAATTCCGAAAAAATTTGAACACAAATAGATATAAAATATTATTAAACTGGTGGTGCATGGCATGGTAACTTAAGGCAAATTGCTGGAACTTTCCGTACCAAAAAATAAAATTTTTAATACCTTTAAAATTTTTTGAAAGCTTTGAAAAAAAGAAATTTTAACAATTTTGAAATTTTTGAAAAAAAAAAAATTTTTTTTTATATTTTGAATATTTCTAAAATTTGTGAACTTTTTTGAAATTTTTCAAAGAAATCGTGCTGCGTAGCTGTTTTAGAGAAGAAATATCGAAGCGCGTAAGCGCCGCATTGCAATCTAACAGATAAACATCAGTACGGAAACTATAGAAATGTAAACAAAATTCATACTCATTAATAAAATCTCTATAAAACATCTGATAATTTAATGTGCATATGTCTAATGATCATTTTTGACCGCGAAAATAGCATTTACATTTTACTTTTTTTATTCAATCTCCGAAACCGCTAGACCTGCATTTTCAAAAATTTAATCAGTTCTTCATTTTATCAATACAATTAAATAGTTTTTTGAATTATTGAAATTGGACGCTCCGTTCTCTAAAAAATTGAATTACCATTTTTGGTTCTTTTTACCACGTATGTTCAAAACGTCTGCATCAGTCTTAGCAAAAACTAATCAGCGCCTCGCCTTATCTGTAGAAATGGAATGTTTTTAATCATTTAAATCGGTTGAACCGTGTTGCCAAAATCGTCGACGAAAATTTGTATCCGCACAAACACATACACATGTATACATACATACATACATACATACTTACACACACACACACACACGCACATGCATAGTTTTTTTCTAAGGTATGCCAAAATGTTCAGAAACTTTGAAACGCAAAGATAAATAAAAATTTTCATTTTCGATTTTTTTGCGATTACCATAACCTACTCTTCGGGAAGTTAATAAGCAACTGTAGAACTTATATTGCACTTATATATAGAATTTTGCTTTGACAAATTAATTAGTTATTATCAATTATACGAAAATTATTATCAATTATACAATTGAATGTTATTTTTTTTTATTCTATTTTTATATTTTTTGAATATTTTCATTTATTTGAATATTTTCCAAATTGATTATTCGGTTTCCTTGATAATGTGACGAAACAGTATTGTATGAGAATGAAAGTTTTTATTTTATAAATAAATTTTAGAGAAATGTAATTAATTACAAATTTGAAATATGAGATTTTTTATCGAACTATATGTATTGGTTTATCAAAAACCAATTGTACTTCAACATTGTTAATATTCTATTAATCAAATGCAGAAATCGAAGATATGTTATTTGATTGTATTACAGATTTAGATTACAATCTAGTGTGGAAGTTGAAAAGTATACATATAGTATTAATTTACCTTGTGAGAAACCAGTGTGAGGTCCTTCAAAGAAAGATCTATCTCCAACTCTCGTTCTGAAGAATTGTTCAGTCAATATGCATAAGAAAGTAGGACCAGCAATTGCACGAGAAACGTGAGCTTCCAGAGAACCACCAACTGTTAAATCGACATCATCTGGAGATTCATACAATCTCTGCAGTTTTCGTACGTTCTTAAAAAGAATACAATTAGAAGTAATAAAACACAAAAACTCTACATAGTAATATCACAAAAAAAATTAATTCTTAGAACCTTAAAAATTATGATTTTTTGAACGATTTAATTATTGAATTTTTGAAATTAATAAAATGGAATTATTTGTAATAATTAAAACAAATGGTGCATGACATCGTGCCTTAAGGTAAATTGTTGGAACTTCTCGTATTGAAAACTAAATTAATAAAGAAAACTGCAATTTTTTTAAAAAAAAAATTGACTTAAAATGTTTTTTTATATTTTGATTTTTTTGTATTTTGATTGTTTTTGAAAATTTTGAACATTTTACTAAGGATCGCGCTGCATAGCTGATTTGGAGTCGAAATATCAAAGCGCCGTGTAGTCGTCTAAAGTGTAAACATTGGCACGGAACCCACATAAAAGTATGCAAAATTTGTACTTATCATTATAATCTTTATAAAATATCTTATAATACGATGTACATATGTCTAATGTTCATTTTTGACCGCCAAATGACATTATTTTTTACTTGTTTCATTGAATCTCCGGAGACGCTAAACCTGCATTTACAAAAATTTGACCAGTTTTTCATTTCGTCAATACAAGTAAAATATTTTTTGAATTATTTAAATCGAACGCTCCGTTATCTGAAAAACTAAAATACCATTTTTGGCACTTTTTCCACCGTATAGCCGAAATGGCTAGATCTGCCTTTGCAAAAAACTAATAAGCACGTCTCTTTATAAGTAGGAACCGAATGTTTTTTAAATTATTCAAATCGGTTGATCTGTGTTCGCGAAATCGTCGACGAAAAATTGTATTCGCATATACACACACACACACGTACCCACACACACATCCATTTATTCTGAAACTTCTGAACTCTGAAACGTAAAGATATGAACAAATTTTCATTTTCGATATTTTTGCTATTACTATAACTTACCCTACAGAAGGTTAATAATTTCAATAGCTGTAATAAAAAAAATAAAGACGTCCCTTGAGGAACATTGTACATTGAGACAAATGTCTAGAAATCCATAAAACAATTATACAATTAAAAATGCATAATACAAATATTATATCCATACCTCTATTGAGATAGCATTCTCGTGTGTCTTCAAAAGTATGAGCTTGTTTGAGTCCACAAAATTCTCTATAATCATTATATGAATTCAAATCATGGTCGCGATTCCTTTGAATATCGATAGCTCGCAAATTATTTCCTAAAGGACTGGCTCCACGGAATAGGTAATGTTTTATCTGCAATAAATAAATAAATTATGATGATTATTTTTATCTTCTTTGCCACTACATATCGAGATTCATGTCTCTGATCCGTAAAGACTCATATTCAAAATTAATAGTATTATATCACTTTCTTTTGCAAGTCAAGACTCTATTCCAAATATGTAGTATATTGAAATAGATGTACTAAAAATATTGAGGCTTATACGAATAAGTGCCTAATAATACATTCCGTTTATTTCCATTTCCATTATTAAACATACTATTTCTGATTTATTATTACTCAATTCAAAATTCCATTACAATAGTTGCCTCAGGATAAAATTTCTAATCAGTGAGTGCTCAAGGTTGAGTTGCCAGACCTCTTGGGAGGTTATCCATATTATTAGCTTGCTTGATGATTACGGGTCTGTTGAACCGATTGCTTAACCGAAGACCTCCGAAACTATTACGGTGTTTTGACACCAAGCTGTAAATATATAGATAACATTGTTTAACTTCCCGTACCAAAAATTATTTTTTTTTTTCAAAAAAATTTTTTTTTTAAACTTTGAAGAAATTAGATTTTTGAGAATCTTAAAATTTTTGAAAAAAAATATTTGTTCATGTCTTGAAAGATTTTATTAAAGTTCTATTAAATCTACTGAAAATTTGGAACTTTTTTCTAAGCAATCGCGCTGCTTTAGCTGCATAGAGATTAAATATTGAAACGCGTAAGCGCCGCGTCGCAGTCGGACAAACAATGTTACGGAAACCATAGAAATGTAAACAAAATTTGACTCACGTGAAATTATAGACAAGTACATAGACTCTAATTCTTCTTTTTAAATAAATTTATATTACTACTACTGCACACACACACACACATACATACATACATGAAACATGAAATGATACATGAAATTTTGGCGAAAAAAAAAATTGAGAAAAAAAATTTGGGAAAAAAACATGAACTAGTCTTTGATTTTTTGGGAAAAAATTTTGAAAAAAAAGTTGGGAAAAAAAATTTTGGCAAAAAAATTTTGGGAAAACAATTTTGGGGGAAAAAAATTGGTGGCCGAAGTTTTATTACACGCAAAGGCACATGCATTCTATATTTGAGAGAATGTACTATTGAAAAATTCATACGAATGAATTATGAACGCGACATCTGTCGCATATGTAGTAAACTTTCAGCAATAAGCTGCAGTATATATATATATATATATATATATATATATATATATATATATATATTAGGGTGGGCCAATTTTTTGCATATTGAGGCACCTCGCTAATTTAACTTTTTACATCATTTGAAACAATATTGTAAAAAAAAGCATAACCCGCAAATGAATTTAAAGTCAGCGAAAAATTTAAAACATTTTTTAATTTAAAGGAAAAATTGAAAAATCTCATGAAAAATATATTATGACATATATCGAATTATACATCATTTTATTCGTAATTTTATTCTGCATCTTTCGTACGAACAAAGTTTTTTCGTATCTTTTACGGTTTAGATAGTATAAAGCAATCTGTGTAGTTGTTAACTTGTCAAAATGCAAAGTGCGGCTAGGTTGGAGCAATACTCCTCACGATTCGATATTTCTCTAAAGAAAACATATAAAGTATTATACATCATTAGAAAGGTCTCAAAATTCTTAGTTCTTTTTCCATATATCACAACTTCGAATTCCCAACGGTGTGGCCTACAGGCGAGTTGCCGTCGTGAAAATTCGGAAAAATCGGAAAATCTAGAGAAAATTATATGAACACACCTAACCATTTATATACCATTTTATTCGTAATTTTATTCTGCATCTTTCGTACGAACAAAGTTTTTTTGTATCTTTTACGGTTTAGATAGTATAAAGCAATCTGTGTAGTTGTTAACTTGTCAAAATGCAAAGTGCGGCTAGGTTGGAGCAATACTCCTCACGATTCGATATTTCTCTAAAGAAAACATATAAAGTATTATACATCATTAGAAAGGTCTCAAAATTCTTAGTTCTTTTTCCATATATCACAACTTCGAATTCCCAACGGTGTGGCCTACAGGCGAGTTGCCGTCGTGAAAATTCGGAAAAATCGGAAAATCTAGAGAAAATTATATGAACACACCTAACCATTTATATACCATTTCATTCGTAATTTTATTCTGCATCTTTCGTACGAACAAAGTTTTTTCGTATCTTTTACGGTTTAGTTAGTATAAAGCAATCTGTGTAGTTGTTAACTTGTCAAAATGCAAAGTGCGGCTAGGTTGGAGCAATACTCCTCACGATTCGATATTTCTCTAAAGAAAACATATAAAGTATTATACATCATTAGAAAGGTCTCAAAATTCTTAGTTCTTTTTCCATATATCACAACTTCGAATTCCCAACGGTGTGGCCTACAGGCGAGTTGCCGTCGTGAAAATTCGGAAAAATCGGAAAATCTAGAGAAAATTATATGAACACACCTAACCATTTATATACCATTTCATTCATAATTTTATTCTGAATCTTTCGTACGAACAAAGTTTTTTCGTATCTTTTACGGTTTAGTTAGTATAAAGCAATCTGTGTAGTTGTTAACTTGTCAAAATGCAAAGTGCGGCTAGGTTGGAGCAATACTCCTCACGATTCGATATTTCTCTAAAGAAAACATATAAAGTATTATACATCATTAGAAAGGTCTCAAAATTCTTAGTTCTTTTTCCATATATCACAACTTCGAATTCCCAACGGTGTGGCCTACAGGCGAGTTGCCGTCGTGAAAATTCGGAAAAATCGGAAAATCTAGAGAAAATTATATGAACACACCTAACCATTTATATACCATTTTATTCGTAATTTTTCTGCATCTTTCGTACGAACAAAGTTTTTTCGTATCTTTTACGGTTTAGTTAGTATAAGCAATCTGTGTAGTTGTTAACTTGTCAAAATGCAAAGTGCGGCTAGGTTGGAGCAATACTCCTCACGATTCGATATTTCTCTAGAGAAAACATATAAAGTATTATACATCATTAGAAAGGTCTCAAAATTCTTAGTTCTTTTTCCATATATCACAACTTCGAATTCCCAACGGTGTGGCCTACAGGCGAGTTGCCGTCGTGAAAATTCGAAAAAATCGGAAAATCTAGAGAAAATTATATGAACACACCTAACCATTTATATACCATTTTATTCGTATTTTTATTCTGCATCTTTCGTACGAACAAAGTTTTTTCGTATCTTTTACGGTTTAGATAGTATAAAGCAATCTGTGTAGTTGTTAACTTGTCAAAATGCAAAGTGCGGCTAGGTTGGAGCAATACTCCTCACGATTCGATATTTCTCTAAAGAAAACATATAAAGTATTATACATCATTAGAAAGGTCTCAAAATTCTTAGTTCTTTTTCCATATATCACAACTTCGAATTCCCAACGGTGTGGCCTACAGGCGAGTTGCCGTCGTGAAAATTCGGAAAAATCGGAAAATCTAGAGAAAATTATATGAACACACCTAACCATTTATATACCATTTTATTAGTAATTTATTCTGCATCTTTCGTACGAACAAAGTTTTTTCGTATCTTTTACGGTTTAGATAGTATAAAGCAATCTGTGTAGTTGTTTAACTTGTCAAAATGCAAAGTGCGGCTAGGTTGGAGCAATACTCCTCACGATTCGATATTTCTCTAAAGAAAACATATAAAGTATTATACATCATTAGAAAGGTCTCAAAATTCTTAGTTCTTTTTCCATATATCACAACTTCGAATTCCCAACGGTGTGGCCTACAGGCGAGTTTGCCGTCGTGAAAATTCGGAAAATCGGAAAATCTAGAGAAAATTATATGAACACACCTAACCATTTATATACCATTTTATTCGTAATTTTATTCTGCATCTTTCGTACGAACAAAGTTTTTTCGTATCTTTTACGGTTTAGTAGTATAAAGCAATCTGTGTAGTTGTGAACTTGTCAAAATGCAAAGTGCGGCTAGGTTGGAGCAATACTCCTCACGATTCGATATTTCTCTAAAGAAAACATATAAAGTATTATACATCATTAGAAAGGTCTCAAAATTCTTAGTTCTTTTTCCATATATCACAACTTCGAATTCCCAACGGTGTGGCCTACAGGCGAGTTGCCGTCGTGAAAATTCGGAAAAATCGGAAAATCTAGAGAAAATTATATGAACACACCTAACCATTTATATACCATTTTATTCATAATTTTATTCTGCATCTTTCGTACGAACAAAGTTTTTTCGTATCTTTTACGGTTTAGTTAGTATATAGCAATCTGTGTAGTTGTTAACTTGTCAAAATGCAAAGTGCGGCTAGGTTGGAGCAATACTCCTCACGATTCGATATTTTTCTAAAGAAAACATATAAAGTATTATACATCATTAGAAAGGTCTCAAAATTCTTAGTTCTTTTTCCATATATCACAACTTCGAATTCCCAACGGTTGTGGCCTACAGGCGAGTTGCCGTCGTGAAAATTCGGAAAAATCGGAAAAATCTAGAGAAAATTATATGAACACACCTAACCATTTATATACCATTTTATTCGTAATTTTATTCTGCATCTTTCGTACGAACAAAGTTTTTTCGTATCTTTTACGGTTTAGTTAGTATAAAGCAATCTGTGTAGTTGTTAACTTGTCAAAATGCAAAGTGCGGCTAGGTTGGAGCAATACTCCTCACGATTCGATATTTCTCTAAAGAAAACATATAAAGTATTATACATCATTAGAAAGGTCTCAAAATTCTTAGTTCTTTTTCCATATATCACAACTTCGAATTCCAACGGTGTGGCTACAGGCGAGTTGCCGTCGTGAAAATTCGGAAAAATCGGAAAATCTAGAGAAAATTATATGAACACACCTAACCATTTATATACCATTTTATTCGTAATTTTATTCTGCATCTTTCGTACGAACAAAGTTTTTTCGTATCTTTTACGGTTTAGATAGTATAAAGCAATCTGTGTAGTTGTTAACTTGTCAAAATGCAAAGTGCGGCTAGGTGGAGCAATACTCCTCCAATTCGATATTTCTCTAAAGAAAACATATAAAGTATTATACATCATTAGAAAGGTCTCAAAATTCTTAGTTCTTTTTCCATATATCACAACTTCGAATTCCCAACGTGTGTGGCCTACAGGCGAGTTGCCGTCGTGAAAATTCGGGAAAAATCGGAAAATCTAGAGAAAATTATATGAACACACCTAACCATTTATATACCATTTTATTCGTAATTTTATTCTGCATCTTTCGTACGAACAAAGTTTTTCGTATCTTTACGGTTTAGATAGTATAAAGCAATCTGTGTAGTTGTTAATGTCAAAATGCAAAGTGCGGCTAGGTTGGAGCAATACTCCTCACGATTCGATATTTCTCTAAAGAAAAACATATAAAGTATTATACATCATTAGAAAGGTCTCAAAATTCTTAGTTCTTTTTCCATATATCACAACTTCGAATTTTGCACGGTGTGGCCTACAGGCGAGTTGCCGTCGTGTGAAAATTCGGAAAAATCGGAAAATCTAGAGAAAATTATATGAACACACCTAACCATTTATATACCATTTTATTCGTAATTTTATTCTGCATCTTTCGTACGAACAAAGTTTTTTTCGTATCTTTTCGGTTTAGATAGTATAAGCAATCTGTGTAGTTGTTACACTTGTCAAAATGCAAAGTGCGGCTAGGTTGGAGCAATACTCCTCACGATTCGATATTTCTCTAAAAAAACATATAAAGTATTATACATCATTAGAAGGTCTCAAAATTCTTAGTTCTTTTTCCATATATCACAACTTCGAATTCCCACGGTGTGGCCTACAGGCGAGTTGCCGTCGTGAAAATTTCGGAAAAATCGGAAAATCTAAGAAAATTATATGAACACACCTAACCATTCATATACCATTTTATTCATAATTTTATTCTGCATCTTTCGTACGAACAAAGTTTTTTCGTATCTTTTACGGTTAGATGTATAGAGCAATATGTGTAGATGTAACTTGTCAAAATGCAAAGTGCGGCTAGGTTGGAGCAATACTCTTCACGATTCGATATTTCTGTAAAGAAAACATATAAAGTATTATACATCGTAGAAAGGTCTCAAAATCTTAGTTTTTTTCCCATATATCGCAACTTCGAATTCCAAACGGTGTGGCCTACAGGCGAGTTGCCCGTCGTAAAATTTCAGGAAAATCGGAAAAATCTCGAGAAAATTATATGAACACACTTAACCATTCATATACCATTTTATTCATAATTTTATTCTGCATCTTTCGTACGAACAAAGTTTTTTCGTATCTTTTTACGGTTTTCATGTTATAGAGCAATATGTGTAGATGTTAACTGTCAAAATGCAAAGTGCGGCTAGGTTGGAGCAATCTCCTCACGATTCAATATTTCTCTAAAGAAAGAAAACATATAAAGTATT